GAATTTATAGTAGAATGTTACTTATAATTATAATGTATGTATTTGATTACACATTTTCCATTTTGAATTATTAATAAAATTTGAAGGCCTTTGCTTTAACCAACCGACTACAAGCCAATTTGACTTATTACTCCCTATGTGTCTAGTAGGTTTGTCCGGTCTGTATATACATTTTCCATGATAAACTAGGTAGAAAAGGCCAGTGTATTGGTAAATCATGCAAACGGAAAGGAAATAATTCAACGACTTATTGAAAGATTGAAAGATAACGATTTCCCCTGTCCCATCTCCTGCATTCCCAGCGCTCTTTGGCCACCTTGTTGTTTCCCTACGCTTCGCGACGGGAAGCAAACCACATCTCGCTCTGAAATCTTAATACTTTTTTCCCTTATATAATGAATAACTATTATTAATGGGATGTTATATCTTTCGGTGTTAAAGTTGCTCAATATATTGGGATATAGAATATCATCCATAACTCTTTGGAATGTAGCCGGCGCGTTCTTCAAACCAAAGGGCATGCGCAAGAATTCTTAATGCCTGTTTTCTGTACTGCATGCGGTTTTTTCGATGTCGTTTTCATGCATCTGGATCTGGTGGAAGTCGCTATCTAAATCTAAGGTGGTGAAATACTGGCAGCGTCCCGCTTGTTCAAGAGATCCGTTATGATGGGTAATGGGTATCTGTCATCTAAGCTTTTTGTATTAAGGCCCCTTAAATTTACTTTATTATACTAAACAAAAAAATATTCAAACTGTTGGTCAAAGTGGGTATAGCAGAAACAACAAAAACATAAAGCACATAAGTTTGATATAAAAATAAATAGTTAGGAATTTTGGGATCAGGAACTCAATATTTTTGTACCTACCCATTACACCCACTACATACAATCAAAGACAATACAATGACACAATGCTAAAATCACTTTGGGGGCTCCGCCCCCATGGCTAATTCACTACGGGGGCTCAAGCCCCCCATGCCCCCATGGTTCCGGCGCCTATGGAGATGTCAACGAAACGATACTTCACAAGAGATTCAACCAACTTCGAGAGAGTAGACAGAAAAGAGATGAACCTATAGTTCGACAGAGAAGACTGATCACCACCTTTGTACAACGGAATAACTATAGCGTTTTTGAAAAAGTGTGGGAAAGTACCTGAAATGAAGGAGGTGTTAAATAGCATCGCATCAGCCATGATCATAATAGCGATGTCTGGTAGAGACACAGTATTTTTAAAGAGATGCCATCGTCCGTAGCAGCTTTTTTGTTTTTCATAGCATTGATGGGTAGTTCGAATTTCATAGGGAGATGTTGGAAAAAGGCATGAAGAGATTCAGATATGTTCCTATGAGAAAGATATATGAGGGGATCTTTGTCACAATGCAGATTTTCTGTCAGGGCGGATTATTTGCTATATCGGATATTTCGTTAATAGTTGACCAAGACTCTCGTTGCTTGCTGTTCGAGTTCACAAGGCGCCCCGAGTAGTCCAATCTTTTCGCTTCCCTAATGATAGTCCTATATATTTTCCTATAGAACGTTGGATCATGAGGCTCTCCAGGAAAGGCCCTCCTAAGCTTGTTTAAAAATCTAAGGTTCGCAGCAGAGTTGCGAATACCACGCGTAAGCCATTTTCTACAATCCCTGCGCTTAGGTTTCAATCGACGAAGAGGAAAGGCGTTGTTCAAAATTGTTGACAGTGCTTTGTGAAATGCTTCCAAGGGGTCAGTTTTTACAAGAACAGAATTACAATCAAATAAAAGACAACGATGTCGAAAAAGTCTAAAGTTACGAGTGCCTAATATTCTTTCAATTTTTCCATGTTGGTCATTAAAAATAACGCAGCGGAAGGTAACCAGAACAGCTTTGTGATCAGACCGCTCGGGATCGAAAATCCCACATTGCACATTTCCCTGTATATTTGAGGCAATGTAGTCTATGGTTGTAGATGAAAACTGCGTGACTCGCGTGGAACTATGAACATGCATACTCACACCATATGAATGGAACAAACAGGAAAGATCTTGGGTTGACTTGCTATTGGTATCTGAAAAACAATATTAAAGACACCGGAAAGTATAACCTTACAACCAACCGGAATCCAGGAAAGAAGAAGTTCAATGTTCTCCAAAAATACATTACATTTACATTTATTTCAGGAGACCAATATATACAGACAATGTAGAGTTTTTTTTAATATAACAGAGTGGATAATTGAAAACTTAAACTGCTTCTCAACAAGTAGGTGGTCTAGGTCGTCAATTGTCAAATCTAGAAAAAAAGCCCAGAGTACGCTCATCAACGAGGGCTGCAGTACCGGCACGGGTGAATATTTCTCGGCAGAATCCAGAGACTAGAAAATAACCTGAGATGAATGATGGTTTCCCAGGGGCAAGCCAATGTTCAGTCAATAAAACTATACTAGGAAAATTCAGATACTCCAAAACAACAAAAAGATCATCATCAGTCTTGCTACGGACGGACTGAACATTCAAGAGCAATAATGAAAAACTCGCGTCAGAATGGTCTAGTCTAAAAAAGGATTTGAAGCATTATTAAAAACATCTCCATCTTTCCTTATACTGTATGGCAGCTGGATGGCAAAGCAATGCATCATTAGTGCCACCGTTATACCACTACAGATGTTTGTATAAGTTTATTGTTGAAAATAAAGCCAGCTTTAATTTAAACTTGAGTACCTAAGGGAAAAAATTAAATTCGTGTATTTCCCAATTGAGAATAGCTTATTTAGACTGTGATATTTCAAAATCCCGGAAGAGTCCAAGTCCAAGCAAAGTACAACACTGTCAGCAGCTCCGAAGTCCATGGTTAACTGAAAGATCCTACTTGCCATCTGCGTTACAGAGTATCCAGGGCGACATTCTTCATGAAAAGAAGAGAGGTTATGCGAATCTGCGTAACCGGGATGCCATTCCGCGCGAGCTCTGGTCTCCAAAAGCTTAAACTCTTGCCTCCTCCAGTCCAGCAAATATGCTCAATGTTTGGGTAGATTGTGCCTCAGAGGTTTGGTGCCCCGAATCTTTAGCTAACGGCAGGCTCTGCTCTGTGTGGGAATCAGCCACAGATAACTCGTCAAACAAGGAGGCGACTGCACTCGAGTTCTTCAATGAAGATAGTGAGGGAGGGAGGATGAGATAGTGACCCTGACATTCTCTGCTTCAATGACTCTAGCTCATCTTTTAGTAAGCTGTTGTCACTATCCAGGGTTTCAATTGTTACAATCAGTCGATCTTTTAGATTCTTGATATCAGCGACTTCAGCCAATGCGACCCCTGACCAAAGAAAGCAAGTTCCGTTTATAAAGTGGTGTACAATTCCTGAGTAATTAGAGGTGCCGAAGTTTGGCAGGAGACGTCACGCATGAAATTAGATGTTTCCGGGCACTGACTAAGTTTTGAAGTGAAAGTCTTTGAGGTTATAAGAACTACGAGGGACCTCCGACTTAATTCAGATATTCTGGACTTCAAAAAATTAATTTCGCTGATCATGTCGCATTCAGAAAAGCCACTGTATAAAGATACCGGGTGATCAATATATTATTATCCCCGGCTCTTACTGTAGAAAATCTTTGTCGAGAGCCAATAATAGAAGATGATTCTACCCACTGTAATTTGACTCCACAAAAAAGGGCCATTGTATAAAGATACAGAATGATCAATATTTTTTTATTCCCGGTTCTTGAAGGAAATCTTTCACGGAAGCTGGTAGACAATCAAAAACAATTCTACCATTGTATATCTATACTAGGTGATCAATATTTTATCATTCCTGGCTCTTAATGTTAAAAATCTTTGACGAGAGCCGGTAATAGAAAATAATTCTACCTACTGTAATTTGACTCAACAAAACTAAGCCACTGTATAAAGATACAGAGTGATCAATATTTTATTATTTCCGGATCCTGTAGGAAATCTTTCACGAAATCCGGTTATCGAAAACAATTCCACCACTGTGTAAAGATATAGGGTGATCAATATTTCATTATCCCTGGGTCTTAATGTAGAAAATCCTTGACGAGATTCGGTAATAGAAAATAATTCTACCCATTATAATTTGACTCAACAAAAATAAGCCACTGTGTAAAAATACAGTCATCAATATTTTATTATTCCCGGTTCTTGTAGGAAATCTTTCACGAAACCCGGTAATTGAAAACAATTCCACCACTGTGTGATGATACAGGGTGATCAATATTTTATTATCCCTGGTTCTTGATGTAGAAAATTTTTGACGAAAGTTGGTAATAGAAAATAATTCTACTCACTGTAATTTGAGTCGACAAAAATAAGCCATTATGTATAAAGAACGAGTGATCAATATTTTATGATTCCTGGCTCTTATAAGAAATCTTTCACGAAATCCGGTAATCGAAAACAATTCTACCACTGTGTAAAAATATACAGGGTGATCGATATTTTATTATTCCCGGCTCTTGTAGCAAATCTTGCACGAAAGCCGGTAATAATCGAAAATAATTTTTCCACTGTATAAAGATACAGATGAGTGACCAATATTTGGTGGCGAGAAGGCACCTCGATACTCTGACCCGCAACTATCAGGGCCAGTTTCGCAAACAGCGGTAACCACGGAGACATTATTGGTAACCCACAATGTTTCATAGTTTGTGGTTTAGTCAAAACCATTGATTAAACTCTTATTTTGCAAACTTGTGGTCAACCCGCAACTATTAGGGCCAGTTTCGCAAACAGTGGAAACTTAACGGTATAACCACAACACACTGGTAATCTACAAGATATCTATTTTATAATGTGTGGTTCAGCCATAACCATTAGATTATTCAATGAGGTCAACCCGTAACATGTGTTTGATAACCAGTGCAGGTTACCGCACCAATTATGGAACTCCGCCTTAGTTTGATAACCAGTGCAAGTTACCACAAATTGTGAAACTGGGCCGAAATGTTCATCCCTTCTGATATCGCTTCTGATACAATGATATTAAAAAACAATCATCTCACCTTAGCAAACGACAAAGTCAAACTATACCCGGACCATACCAGATTCATTTTCGCATACTCCTCTCTACCACAATCTCCAACCACCATGGCGTTTTCCGGTATGAACGAGTCCGCTTGCACATCGATTCCGTGCAATTTGAATTTGACTTCAACAACAGCATCAGTTCTTAGTAGAATACATGTGGTATCGGTGTCTCTGTTAATCAGACGGTAGATAGCGATACCGCTATCTTCTTTCGGATTTTTGGTAGTGGATAGCGATGGTAATGGTATTCCGTCTGGTGGGATTGGGGTGGTTTTTAATCGCGGTCTGGTGGTTGCTTTGTTTGTCAGCTCTATGGAATCGACTAGGCTTGATAAGGAAGTACCTGGAATTTGAATTTGTTACAAGACAATAGAGTAGGTACTTACAATAATGTAGGCTTTCAGATATTCTTATATTATACTTCCATATAACCAAAGAATACCCAGTGAACACATATGAGACATTCACGTTTATAGAAATTTGACATCTGAGCTTTATTCACTGATACAAGAAACTTCAACTTGTATTAAAATAACATCAAATTATAGAAAAAGAACTTCAAAAACTAAAACCAGGAGCTTTGGAGGAGGCTGTTGAATGAGTATTCTACCCATTATATAGAGCCTCTTATAAAGAACCAATTGGAGAAAAAGAGAAATCAGAGACTCCAAAAGAAGTAGAAATAGAGCTTCAGCCAAAACCAAAAGATCACTATATAGGAAGCAAATTTAAATAAATTACTATAAAGTGAACCAAAATGAAAAATTCTAGTCTTTGGTTTATTTCAACAAAGAAATTGGTTTTCTTGATGGTAAAACAGATAAATTCTCACTTACAAATAACAAAAATTAGAATATAAACACTCCCGAAACCAGCCATTTTTAACTCGGAACACTTTCCAACATTGGATTTTCTCTCCAATAACGCGAATTTTGCCCCAATTCCTACGCAAAATCAGAGAGGGTCGATATCAATAACTAGACGCATGCGGTGAATCGGGGGGGCGAAAACGTGGGAGAATTTTCTCCATTGACGAATTTTATATGGACAAATGAGATCAGATTGTTGGAGGATGTTGGATGTTTTTAAGGGTGTTTTTAATGAGGAAATTAAGTTTCTCTGGGGGTCTGGTTTTTAGGTTTGCCTTGACCCAATAATACAGGGCGCGTCTATTATAGAGTTAATCCTTTGTCCAGTCTTAATCAATAAATGTGTAGATTTAAAAATTGAAGCAAATGTCTGGGAGTTTGCTTTTTTGGCATACAAAGTTGTTTATTTGGTAGGCAACTTTTTGTATTGCCATAGTTTTCTTCATTTAAAAATCAAGTTATCTCTAAACTCTTAGAGCGATAGGAACTGATCTAGAGACATTTTTCAAGCGTATAAGTATTCTTATTGGCTATTTTTTGGTGAAAGCACCAGAAAAAACAGCAGTTTCATGGTAAAGAAACAAAAATTTAGTTTCACTTCAAGAATACAAGACTATATAGGCCTTTTACTAATGAACGAAAGACCCAAAATTGGAAAAATTGCTACTCATTTTGTATTGCTGAGATCGCAGAACCCAAATCTTAAAGACGTTTCTAAGATATCCACAAATGACATTCAAGACGTCTTTTGTCTAAAAGACGTCTTAAAAGCGTCGTGTTTCCAAGACCTAACGTCTTTCAGACGTCTGCACGGATTAAGATATTCTAGAGACGTCTTCAACGAGATGTCTTAAAGGCGTCTTTGAATCTGTTTTCAATACATATGTAATCAAAGATGCAGTAAGACCATTTTCTTAGAAGCATCCTATTGGTACATATTTAAATGATTATAAAGTAAACGTGCTTAAAATCTTTTTGATTCTGATTCTGACTTTGATGTTTCGCGAAAAAAGTGCTTGACAGTTTGGCGGATGCCCTAACTTATGAATGCTCCGACAAAATTAAGAAAGAGCTCGTAAATTGCAAGCCTAGACAACAGCTCAGAAATAGACTCGGAAAATTTATAGCATTTAGCATTTATTTTTTGCTCAGAAGTCCACCATCTTGGCCAACAATATACAATGAGAAAGTCAAATCCACAAAGAATGTCTTTATAACTTGTTCTTAGTTAATTTCTTCATTTCATTAAACTCAAGTGAAGTATGAACTGTAATAAATAGATTTTCTTGATTAGTAACCGATCGACTCCGTTTTATAGCGCCACCGGCACGTCGTCGCCTGTAGAATTGTCTAGCGAGTTTTCTAGTCACTTTACCACGCAGTGTTGGCAGATTGTGCACAATTAACAGTAAGCATATTGTCACAAGCCTTATACGTTTCGTTCTGGGACGTCACAACAGGAGCGTGACTTGGGGGCGTAAGTGGGGTTCAGGTAGAGAGAAACTCGCTTGGTATAGGTATAATGAGATGTGTATTGACTATAATAGTTATTACCCTAGAAATGGTATCATGACGTCTCTTCTATGGAGGGACGTACTACTTAAGGGTCACTCTGTATTAATTATGTATCCTATGTACACTTGGCGTGACTGAAGACTGAAACTAGGTTTGAGACAGGCCCAGAAGGGCGTTTCCCATTGAAGGTAGTTTGCACTGGGAGGAGACTTAGCTAGAAGGGCTTTTCCCATTAGAGGTAGTTCGCACTAGCCTCAGTCTACCGGTAATGAATTTCGGCGCTGTATTTATATCAAATAAATTCTGACTCGTCGACACACTTTAGTAAAATTGATGTACAGAGTGGTATTTACTTAAGTAGTTGACAATATTATACTCTAGTAGGACGGATGTAATATCTAAATATGTTTACTTAAATGTTGAGCAGTGTATTTCACGACCTAAGAGCTTTGAACCCTTGAACCGGTTGAAAGTGATGTATTTTTCGTAGGTTTCAGCTTCATTCGTGAGGGTTTCCCCAATTGCGACGTTGCCAGACTTGCTCTTAGGTTCCATAAAGCCGGTTGAAGATTATTTTAATTGATTTTATTGGTTTGTATTTTGATTAAATTTGTTTTAATGACATCAATACTTGCAAAGGATAATTTGAAATCTTCTTTCATTGAATTTTAGGAAAGAGACTTTAGAATTTTCTCTCATTGAATCTTCTGAGCTTTATTCATCATATTAAGCCTTAACTTGGGATATAGGAATGAAAACCTCATGCGGAATCATCACAAAAAGTAAAGGAGAGAGGCAGGGTGGAAAAATGTCTTTCCTATAAAAGGGATTTGCAACTGAACCCAAGGACCTTGCATCTATGTCGACAGACGGATCGAGTCCACTCTAATAGTTAACTTTCTGCTCTAGAGACCTAGTGCTTTCCAGTGACCCATTTGAGTTACACCTGAGCAGCTCAGGAGTCTTCCACAATTACTTTGCGCGTTCCAGTGCTTAGAGAGTCGTAAACTTGAACTACTCATTTTTGTTATCCCCTGCCCCCTCGTGCACCAACCTTTATTTCGGTGTTTCATGCTCCTGAAATCCGAAATGGTGGGGGTTAAGACGAGAGCATTCCACTTCTGCTTATGTCAAACAGTTCAAGAGCATCACACTCCAGAAGCATGATACTCTAACAATTTAGGATTTAGGCACTGGAAAGCAGCTTTGACCGAACTGGTTGCGAATCGAAAACCGCCATTAACCGCAACGCCCCAATACGTTCAGAAATAGCGCACCCAAAGTGCACTCCAAGTGATGACCTCAGAACATTCTGACAAACAATTACCCTAGCTTCACAATCTATTTCTATTGTTCGTCGATTTTTAACTGCCACTTTCCGTATGAGGAGTGAAGGGGTGTTTCATATGGCAAAAACCGTCAGGTAACCGATTGGACGGAATGTAAGCTGGTGCACCCACCCAGCTTACATTCCGTCTGAGTATCAGACTAGAATCGACGGACAATAAACGCACTCCTGCTGATAGTGCTGACATAACTCGCAGGCCTTGCCAACTCGAGAATTGGCGAACGTACGCCTTATGAGGATGAGCTGTTGGTTTACGATTCTTGAGTCCAAACTTTCAATTTCAATCCTCAGCCTCTGCTGCGGAAAATCAAAGCTGTTCACTTTGTTGAAACTGGTTCAGAAGGTTTGAAATATTAGTACCTATATTAATTCTCGCGATCAACCCATGACGTCACAAAAAATTGGTTCAAACCATTTCGAAATACAATCCAATTTTAAACCATTTTATCCATTGAGGTTTTTATCACACCTTGAAGTTATGACGTCATTGTGAAACTGTCTTAAACCAGTTTTGAAAAATGTTTCAAAACTTTGAGGCGCGAGGAAGTACCTCAAGCTTTACAGAAATTAATCCAGTAACCGGAGTGGAAGTTGTCTTATAAGTGACGTCATGAAGTTTTACAATCTCAAGTTATGAGATTGGTAAAAGATTTGAACTTTAAATTCTTTAACGGCGACTTAAATGCCCGAGTGTAATACGCAGCGTATTTTAAAGTTCAGAATTTATTTTTAATTCCAATCCTCAGCTGAGGAAAGTCAAGCTGCAACAGAATTTAATTTAGTAACCTGAGTGGATGAAGTTAACTCATAAGTGACGTCATTAAGTTTGAACATTTCAAGTTATGAGAACTTATTTGTAATTTCAGTCCTCAGCTGCGGAAAATCAAGTTTTACAGAAATTAATCTGGTAACCAGAGTGGAAGTTGTCTTATAAGTGACGTCATGAAGTTTGAAAATCTCAAGTTATGAGATTGGTAGATGATTTGAAATTTAAATTCTTTAACGGCGACTTAAATGCCCGAGTGTAATACGCAGCGTATTTTAAAGTCCAGAATTTATTTTTAATTCCAATCCTCAGCTGAGGAAAGTCAAGCTGCAACAGAATTTAATCTAGTAACCTGAGTGGATGAAGTTAACTCATAAGTGACGTCATTAAGTTTGAACATTTCAAGTTATGAGAACTTATTAGTAATTTCAGTCCTCAGCTGCGGAAAATCAAGTTTTACAGAAATTAATCCAGTAACCGGAGTGGAAGTTGTCTTATAAGTGACGTCATGAAGTTTTAAAATCTCAAGTTATGAGATTGGTAAAAGATTTGAAATTTAAATTCTACAACAGCAATTTGAATACTTATGTATTAAATCCGAGAACTTACTTTTAATTCCAATCCTCAGCTGCGGAAAGTCAAGCTTCTAAACGTTTGAATTTTTATTTAATTCATTGGTCAAGATATCCTGCATCTTTTATGCGCGGTTTATTCATCTTCAGATAAACTTGCTGGTATCTATCTGCAAGATAAATTTATTGGTCTATAATCCTATTGGTCAGCGGATAACTGGCCGATTAATGGAATTACAGATTGTGTTTTTTCATTCGTCAGATTGCATTACCTGACAGTTTGTCAGAAGGTGAATAAACCAACCCTTAAGCCGCATAGTTTTATTGCATAATGATGAGCACTAAAGGTTTGTTCTCAGACAAATCACAAACTAGTCAAAGAGTTTTTTATTGGTACAAATCACCAACAAACAGTTTTCTGACTATTTTCAACCAATGACATTCGCTCTAACCCTGACTGGAATGTGATTCTTGTGAGAACAAACCTTAATAAGTGGACACCGGGTAGTATGTAGTATGTAGATCGATTTTGTTCCCTGTCAGAGAGTGGGACACTCTGTATACTTATAATGCGTGATCCATGAAAGACCAAAAAGTGAAGATTTTTATATTTTTTTCTCAATTATTGACATTAAGGGCTGGTTTATTCACATTCTGATAAACTGTGTGGTATTATGCAATCTGATGGATAAAAACGATATTTGTAATCCCATTGGTTGGCCAAATTATCCATCGACCGATAGATAGTTATCAGCAAGAGCAAGTTTATCTGAAGATTAATAAACCGGGTCTTAATTGGAGGAACTTTAAACAAATAAAAATACCTATTTACAACATTTTATTTACAAAAAAAAAATCACATAAACCTAACTATTGGTAATCGCTGTAGCACGATCCAACAGGATCAAACAGCTTTGAAGCAGCTTGAAAAGCGGACATATCCAAATTGGCCT